AAGGTAGCGCTGTGTTGTCTGTTTGGTATTAAGAGGGCAGAAAATTCTCTGAATTCAGTATTCTGGAAAGATAATGAAAACTTGTATTTACTACCTTAGTGTTTACTACCCAGGTGTGTTACATGCATTGACTTAATGATTGTGTACAATCAGTCCCAACCCTGCTTTCATTCCAAAAAGCAGTCATATCTGTAACCAGATGGCTTTTTAACTCTTATTGTTTTAAGCAGCTTAAAGCTTTATTATGCAGCCAATGTAAAACCAAAGAAATGTTGTCAGTGAGTGAAGATAGACATGGCAGGGGTTTGAAATTACTGACTTGAAATATTTAGTGAAAAATAGCCTTTTTCACTCAACTATGAGCTAAGAATTGCCTGCAGTTGATACAAATCTACAGAAAGATTTATTGAGGAGCTATATTGGAGCATTCAAAAGCTTCCCTTAATTATTAATTCATCCAAGTGTCTCTCACAACCTCCTATTTTTAGAAGCCTTCACCACATCTCCAAACAAAGCTGACAGGGTGAGCTTATTTTAGTGGCTCTTTTATGCCTTTGTATCCTGCCTTCTGCCTTTGCTTCACATATTTTTACCCCCACATTCTGGATTTTTGAATTTCCCCACAGTGGGACGATAAAGGTCTATTATTTCTTTGCTATTTTACTGTCACCTTCTAGCGAAAGACTAGGTATACAACACTACCAGCGCTGTGTTGAGTTTTTTTTTTTTTTTTTTCTGCTGTCAGTAAATCATTATACAGGGTTCTAGGATCCATAAATGGATTTTAAAATGTTAAAAGTTAATTGGACCATCAAAAATTTTAATTCAATGGAATTTAGCTTTTGATTTCTACTGTGTTATTTTAGAGAGAGTTATCAACTAAAATATTTCGACCAGTTAACAGCATAGCGCAGCAAATGTTTTATAACTGCAACTATGAAGCTTTGGAGATGGCAAAGGTTGAAGATATTCTGCAGTGTGAGGCCCTACAGCTTAGACAGCTGTTATTGTCATATGCGTCATCTCTTCTTACACAGAAGACAAGCAAAAAGGGATAGAAAAGTGTTTCCTTTTAAGTGACATAGTTTTTTTCAATCTGTGTGTCGAAACCAAATAGATCTATAAGCATAACAATTAAGTATTAAGTAATAACTTTAAAAAATCATATTATTTTCATGTGCCTGCATTTAAATGCAGATCATATAAATGCACGTAGATAGGAGGCAAGCTTCTTTTGGAGGCTGATAAAGCTTTGGACCTACAGTATTTGGTTATAATATTCAAATATGTGAGGAAATTTACAAAAAAATAATAATAAATTGCATTTATTATAACATTAGAAAATTAACTTGACATGAAAAATATATATTTTCTCCTTGAACTGCCTCCAAACCAGTCACTTATGAGAAGATAACATGGCCAAACAGTTTTAAGATCTAATATAAAGATGCACCCATTACTGAATGAAAAGACCATTAAAGAAAGGATAAACTCAGCTTTTTCCCTGAAAACATTAACGAGAGGAGTGGGTGTTTTCATCACTCAATCTAATTGGATCCTTTAAATCTGTAGCTTATAGAGTAAGAACCTGCATCATTCTATTGATTATTCTTTGTAAAAGGGAGTACAGACCAATAATACAATGGATATAAAAGCTAGAAAATACAATTAAAAGGAGAGTGTACTAATATGATTAAATACATTTTCTAAATCTCTTCAATTAAAGGTGACTAAAACGCAGGCACACTAGAATCCTAAAAATCATTAAAACGGGAAATCTCTCTGTGTACAGCCAGCTAATGAGTTGAATGCTACTGAAAAGCTGCTCTATATGATCAGAAGCCTATTTTGTCTTCCTCTTTATCCATCAGCCATCCCCTATTGAATAACTCCAGTTCCATTTTCATATACTGATCTCACATAATTTCTATGTCTCTATAATTGTTTCGAGTTATAGTCTCCCCTTATTGAGACCAAAAGCAGTTGAGTGGTAAGCATGTGATAAATGTTTGCAAAAAGCAGCAAAGAAGCTTTTGCTGTGCATCACTGACTGCATACAATAAAGGTGTAGGGCACTCAATAGCATTAATTCAACATGAATTTTAAGAGGTATTGACATTAAGAGGCTGTAAATTTGCAGACTAAGGAAAAGTGGAGAAAGCTCAAGAGAGGGTTGAGAAGTTAGTTTGACATTTCAGGGACAGTCGAAGGGTTTCGCTTCCAGAGATTTTTAAACCCTGCGTGCCCCCTCAACCGGCACCAACATAACATGTTACACACCATTTTTAGTGTTAGTGCTGTAAACTTTTACCCATGTCCAAATGCAAATGTAATTATTCTAAAAAATTCTAAAAAAAAAAAAGGTTGTGTTTACTATTAAGACAAACACTTTACTAAGCTTTGTTTTGTCAGGTTTGGTATTTCTCTGTGTATGGGAATTGCATCCAAACTTTAAATGATCTATTATTCAGCATGGATGGCTAGGTTTAAAGTCTTTTTGTCAATGAAAATGCGGAACTCCCATAATTTACATTAAATTAAATTTACTTTATTTTTATTAGACATGTTATTTTATTCCTTTTACAGAGACAATTCAATCATATGCCACAGTCAGATTGGTTCAAAGTTTCCTATCTAAGAAAAAACAGCTGATTGCATCAACTCATTGATCCAAAACAATCCAGGACACTGAGCATGCATGCAAAGACAGTGGAGAGGAAAAACTCCCTTTTAACAGGAAGAAACCTCCAGCAGAACCAGACTCGGTATGAGTGTCCATCTGCTGAGGCCAGCAGGGATTCAAGGAGACATTAGCAGACATACAAACCAAACATACACTATATTGCCAAAAGTATTTGCTCACCCATCCAAATTATTGGAATCAGGTGTTCCAATCACTTCCATGGCCACAGGTGTATAAATTCAAGCACCTAGGCATGCAGACTGTTTTTACAAACATTTGTGAAAGAATGGGTCGCTCTCAGGAGCTCAGTGAATTCCAGCGTGGAACTGTGATAGGATGCCACCTGTGCAACAAATCCAGTCGTGAAATTTCCTCGCTCCTAAATATTCCACAGTCAACTGTCAGCTGTATTATAAGAAAATGGAAGTGTTTGGGAACGACAGCAACTCAGCCACGAAGTGGTAGGCCACGTAAACTGACGGAGCGGGGTCAGCGGATGCTGACGCGCATAGTGCGAAGAGGTCGCCAACTTTCTGCAGAGTCAATCACTACAGACCTCCAAACTTCATGTGGCCTTCAGATTAGCTCAAGAACAGTGCGCAGAGAGCTTCATGGAATGGGTTTCCATGGTCGAGCAGCTGCATCCAAGCCATACATCACCAAGTGCAATGCAAAGCGTCGGATGCGTTGGTGTAAAGCACGCCGCCACTGGACTCTAGAGCAGTGGAGACGCGTTCTCTGGAGTGACAAATCGCGCTTCTCCATCTGGCAATCTGATGGACGGGTCTGGGTTTGGCGGTTGCCAGGAGAACGGTACTTGTCTGACTGCATTGTGCCAAGTGTAAAGTTTGTTGGAGGGGGGATTATGGTGTGGGGTTGTTTTTCAGGAGCTGGGCTTGGCCCCTTAGTTCCAGTGAAAGGAACTCTGAATGCTTCAGCATACCAAGACATTTTGGACAATTCCATGCTCCCAACTTTGTGGGAACAGTTTGGAGCTGGCCCCTTCCTCTTCCAACATGACTGTGCACCAGTGCACAAAGCAAGGTCCATAAAGACATGGATGACAGAGTCTGGTGTGGATGAACTTGACTGGCCTGCACAGAGTCCTGACCTCAACCCGATAGAACACCTTTGGGATGAATTAGAGCGGAGACTGAGAGCCAGGCCTTCTCGTCCAACATCAGTGTGCGACCTCACAAATGCGCTTCTGGAAGAATGGTCAAAAATTCCCATAAACACACTCCTAAACCTTGTGGACAGCCTTCCCAGAAGAGTTGAAGCTGTTCTAGCTGCAAAGGGTGGACCGACGTCATATTGAACCCTATGGATTAGGAACGGGATGTCACTTAAGCTCATATGTGAGTCAAGGCAGGTGAGCAAATACTTTTGGCAATATAGTGTAGAAGCGCTGATCTATAGAAATTTTTAAAAAGTAAAGGTAATGGTATATATCCCTGCTGCTATCAAACTTTAAAATGCGGCACTATCTGCAATAACTAATGTGCAATCAATATTTAATACCCTGTGTAATAACCTTTTTCATATTTAATACTCAGTGCAATAACAATATATATAAATACCTATTTATATACATACCCATTTAATACCCTGTGCAATAATTATGTGTAATAATCCTGTTAAATAACAGACTTCAGCTGCTATATATATATGTTGACACACTTTATATACTCTATGTACCCCGTGCACCTTTTCCTCCTTTTTGCGCCTTCTTTTTGACTATTGAACCGATGTAACAAGTACATTTCTCCACTGTGAGATCAATTAAGTCTATTAATCATTAGCTCCACAGGTGGCTCTGTCTTGAAAAGAAACAACTAAACAGACAAACTCTGAGCCAGTTTTCATGGCAAAGGGATAAAAGGAACCCCATACAGTTAGTTACAGTCAAAGTTTAGACATAGCCTATAGCTATGTCTTGGAGAGAAACAGGCCAAAAATAAATGGAAGTTAAGTGAAAAAACAAACTGCAGAGGAATTTATGAGATGGCCATAACAACATGCTACACATCTTTAATTGGTCTTGTTTAGAGTTCAACTCTGGTTGACGTGATTGTGGTTACAGCATTGAAACCAGTACTGGTCCCTAATAAATTCTGCATTTAATTCCCTAAAATGTTTGTAGAGAACCTGATGTTTTTGCATTGAATGCAGCATTTTTGGCAAATTTGTTGGTTTGGGTTTCATCTTTCCATTAGTTATCTTCTGTAACTGTATCCTTGTTTGTTAGTACTACCTTCAAAAACACTGAGATACATTAACAGTCTTTCCCTGAGGCCAATGTCTTTCTGTTTTCAAGCTGCAGCGACTGAAGCGCTCTCTGTCCCTTAAGTCAGTCATTCGCAGCAAGAGTGTGGATAACTTTTTCCAGCGCAGCAACTGCGAATCTCGACTGGCCTCAGCCATCATCACCGTGCCACCACCTCAAACAGCTTCTCCCTTTTCTGATTCTCCTCTGACGTATGAGCTCTCACCCTCTCTTTCACCATCAATCAGTCCAAACCCTTCCTTGTCATCACCTTCCCCTTCAATTAGTCCTTCACTGTCCAGAAACTCAAAGAGCCAGCCAAAGTCTCAGGCTCAACCAGTCAAAACCCACTGTTTCCAGGAGCATGTCTTCCGTAGGCCTACCACCTGCCAGAGATGCAGCCATATGATCCAAGGTAAGTCAATTATCAGCTACCGGTTATCGGATACTCTCAGTAATACCAGCATCTTTACTATTTGTTGTGCTTCTGACTGTAGCTTACCCAGAAAGTGATTGATTTAAGTCAGCCATGTGTTATTTGTTATTCGTTATATCCAGGAAATTCCAAACAGGGTCTGCGTTGTAAAGCCTGTAAGCTGGCGGCCCACCTTTGGTGTTCATCTGAGCTCTCTCAACTGGCCTGTAATGGCAAGGTAAGAGACTTCAGAGTCAGTGCCTCATAAGAAGGAAATTAGGAAATATATTTTAATCAAAAAAAGTACAGCAATGGGTACAAGACTCACAGAAAATATTAAATCTCACTTGTCATTAGGGATACCCTAAGCCGATATTAATATCAGATATCAGTCCAATATTAGCCTTTGGCTATGATGCCTCTAAACTTGGTTTTCGTAAATTTACTAAAACTCAATTACAATTGTGGGATCAATGTAAGATGTAAGAAAACAAGGGTAATTACAAAACAGGTAAATTCTGACCAATGTTGAAATATTTTGTAATATTGTTGCAATTGTTTTTTACAAAATCATTCAGCACCAAATGGATAGTAAAAATGACTTTCTTGCAGTCGTGAGTTAAACCTTAGTTTTTACAATGAGTGCAAATGACTGCACCTAGCTCCTGACAGCTGTTGGGTCTTACATCAGCTGCACTATAAAATCAGTGACTCATTGAAGAAATATGTTGCCATATAACATTAATGTGGTCATGTCTGCTGTTTGGAACAATTCCCAAACAAAACATCTGTTCAGCTGTCCGGTCGCAAACTTTGCAGTTCGGCTGTTTCTCCAGTCTAATTCAACAACTTCCCAGAGCTGACTATGAATAAGCTGAAATAACACACTTTATAGAAAACTCTAAAGAAGGTGAATAGTGTTAAACAAAATTTATAGGTAAAAAAAGGGTCATGTGATATTGTTTTTATATTTTAAGTTGTGTTTTGTACCCACTTCTACCACCTAACATCCTGCTCTAGATGCGTTATAGCCAAAACAGCTGGGCCTGGTTTGGATACGAAAGCTTTCCATCACCTGTTGAGTATTTGATAGGATGTGTCTCCATTTAACCCACTTCAAATATTCAGAGTTCCTATATTTGCACAATTTGACAGCTTAAAGCACACTGGATAGAGTCCTTATTGATCAAAACATGTGTTGCATGAACAGGAGTTTTATACCACAAGAGGTTAAAAAAAAAGCCAAACAGACAGAATATTGACAAACGATTTACTAGATAATGCATGAAATATGGAGAAATAAATTTGATAACAGAGAAGAGGTTGCTGTTTTAAATAAACTTTGTCATAATGCTTTTAATGCACATTTAGTTGTTTTTTGTTTATTTTTTCATAAAAGCAATGTTTTTATCCTGCCAGAAGCGTGAAGTTACAAATTTTATATGTAGTACTTAAATGTGCAGTGAAAGGAAATGTTAAGGGACAAATTATTAGCTAAAAATGCTTAAATGTTTATTTTGTACTGATCATTTATATACGGTTGACTTTGTTTTAGTTGCTCCTAGCTTCTTTCAGCAGTTTCATTTGCCATGAAGAAAAAATGTCACATGATTAATTAGATTTACTGTAATTGTTTCTAAAATGGCCTGGGAATGTGAATGTTCCTTAGAGAGAGGACACAAATTAAGAATGTTCAGCGTCAGCAGAATTAAACAGCATCTGGATGCCTAAAGTGTCTCACTGAGTCATTTGGCACAGCCTTTAGCCCGTGTAATATGCTCAGTTCCAAAACTCCTGGCTTGTAGAAAAAGAATAAAGCCCTTTTCAAAAGACAAAAAGGTGGAGGTATAACTGAAACATGGGTTGATTGTATATGAATAAAAGAGTAGCAGTGAGGGGAGGTTCTTTCTCCTCTCTTCCACATGCCATGCTTTATTAGTAGAAAACAGCTGAGTCTAGCAATAATAAAGTTCATGTCGTTACATTCCAGTATTTTGTCTGCCTTACGACCTTTCTGCCTCTTTACCTACAGTGTTTCTCTGTGTTCCTCTCGCTTGTCTGGACGCAACATTTCCTACCTCTCCTCTAAACTTTGCTTTAAAATCAATATATCTCTGTACCAGCTGGCCTGCCTAATTCAGTGTGAAATTTGCAGTGTTTGAGGAGAACACTATCCCTCGAGGATGTGCAAACTCTCACCAAGCCAGTGTCTTCTCTGATCTCTGTGCACTGATGGAAATGCCCTTTTTTAAATTAGAAATTTTGGGTGGAAATAATGCATATTAATTACAGTTTTTGCATGAACATGGTTAAATTTACATTTCTTTTAAATACTGTAATAAGGTAGTGTTTTTAGTGGCAGTTTGTGTTTTAGGTATGTACAAGATATAAAGCTAAAAAAATCTAGAAATTTAGAAGCAAATCAATAATTGCTATGTTGTGGGAAAATAATTTTTTCCACATAAAAGTATAGCCAAACCTTTGGGATTACTCTGGGCTTCAGATTTTTAGAGGAATTGATCTCCTTTAAACCTTTAGTTTAAAGGAGATTTTACAAACCAGTGGCCATAAAGACAATTGCCCCTTCAAGACACTTAAATTTTTCATAAGTTAGTTACTTAAGAGGACTTCCAACAATCTGCCAACAACAATCCCCCTGAAGCTTTGAAACCAGCTCTCTGTGTGACAAAGCAGCTCCTGAAACAGCTATTCTGGTTATGACATAATTCAGATTTTACAACCCACTACTTTACATCTACCTTCCAATTTCTGCTCTCTGCTCCCTTTTCAGACTTGGCATTTATATGTTTCCTGACCATTTCAGATAAAAATAGTTTCCAATCCTGGCTTTCAGTTCTATGGTAAAGGATCTGACTTTAGTCTTCCACTGTAAATGCAAAAACACATACCACAGCATTTTTGCAAGGATGGCTGACAGTCGAGCAATATGCAGGAGGTCAGCAGGCTTACTTATCTTTCTATAACATTACATATACATTCATTTATCACCAGAACTATGTAATGATTTAAACGTTTAGAGGAGCGCCCATTTAAGGCCAGGTTACATTGGTTATCTTCTTTTTCCTTGCACATTTTGACTTTATAAGCTGACCATACACATTAGAATACCTTCTGAATCTAGCAACTTTTAATGACTGATCAAGTTAGTTCGGTAATCAATGTTAATTAATTGTTAAGATGCAATATACTCTTATTGGGGACGAGGGAATGCTGAGCACTGCACAAAATAATACTGCATATGCAAGAAAGCTGTACTCTCACAGCCTAAATCCTCTCAGTTGTATTCCAGCATATTATCCTTGGCTGATTGTACACATTTTAACTGTTTACATCTAGGAGCACTAAATGATAGGGGGAAAAAAACCTGACTGAGCAACTTTATATGTTTCTGTTTGGAGAGTTAAACCTATTAAGGCCAGCCTTTAAACACGGATCTTTGTTATTTTATGTTACTCGAAAAGTATTTCTATAATTAAATAATTTGACGTTACAGCAAAAGAATCAGAATTTCTTTGCAAAAGAAACTCAAAAGAAATTCTGATTTCTTTTGCTGTAACATCAAATGATTTAAATATATAAAGTATTTCTATAGTTAAATAATTTTATGTTACAGCAAAAGAAATTCTGGTTGGCCTTGTACATATATTTAACTACTTTTAATTGATACTGCAATACATTAACAAAAAATATTTAGTAATAGATTTTATGTTAAATATGAAGCTGTAAAAGCATTTTAAATGTATTTATTTGGGCCTTTGATGTAAACACAGTTGACCTTTGTATACTGTATTGGTGACTTGTCCCTGTTAGTTAATGTTTGGTTTTAAAAGGTTAAACAGAGAAGACTACATGCCCAGAACCCACTCCTTCAGCTTGAGTGCTTTCCATCTCCAATTTATAAATCTAAAGGTCAACTGCAAATATTTGTTTTTGTTGTGAGGAGAGAAAGAGATAAATGCATAGTTACATGCAGTTGGGTCCTTTTCACAAATGACCTCCAATAAAACAGTTCATGTTATTCTGTTGGCATCCTATTATGCGTTTTCCCAAAGGTCCAAGCATGGCTTTATTTGGACTATTTTCAAGTGCAAGGGAGAGGCTCTTTTAACAAATGTGTTAAAAAGAATGTACCTCCTTAAAAAGACTTTGCTTTGTGCATTAATCTAGTAAAAAAGTGATCTAAAGAAGGGAGAAGGCTAATTGCCATAATAGATATATGAAAATTATTATTAATCAATGCATGCTGTGACATCAATAAAAACTGTTGCAGATTAGAGCACAACTTCACTGATGGTATCAAATTAAGGCTGTGTTTTGATGCAGCCCGTCCCCCTGACATCACATTCTGACCTCGCTCTGATGCAAAGAGAGATGCAAAATTCCATCATGTTACAAGTTGTCCAATCTCCGGAACCATTGTCGATTTTTGCTAGTGAAAATGACTCCTCTCTTCAAAGGAGCTATGAGATAAAAAAAAAAAATCCAGCATAGTCTTGCTGGTACGCCCATTTATATACAACGGATGAGGATTTTTTAAATCTCCGCCTTTCAATCAACCAAGATAGAACCCGGTTTCCGTCCTGGCCAGACGTCCTGTGTCTGGTGTGCCCTTCTGCGCTGTGAGCTGTGCTGACTTAAAGACCGTTGAGTCGTTGTCTGCTTTCCTGAGCTGTGAGCTGCTTCATTATTGGATTAATTGAAACTTAATTGATTTAACTTCTACCAAAGATCATTGTCACACATCTGTTTGCTATATATAATCTATGCTGCTAATCTGATGAACGTCCCCTCAGTGCATTACAACAGCTGAGCTAATAAACTAAACATTAGCAAAGACTCTACCTCAAGAACTCATTTGTACTTCTTTATGTTTACTGATTCATTTATTTAGTTTATTTTATTTTAGATTACTTTATTGAACATACTAATAATACTGTGATAGGGATTATTAGGTTAAAAAAAAGCAACCCAAGCAACTTCCCTTGAGTTAACAACTTGAATAGACAGAGAATATTTTCTTTGTGGTTAATGATTAATCATTCTGCTTAATTTATAAACTAAGTTATTGCCATTTACTGATGGTAAAGACATTTTAAAAGCTGCTCAAAAATGTTCAGCCACAAAGGTAAGCCATTAATAACACCTGGCAATTGAGCAATTTGTCAGTTATGATCATTTAACAAAAGATCATTACTTGATTTTATTGTTCCTTTGAGTGACATAGTAACTATAACTTCCAGTTTTCTTGGTGCCAGAGATTAGCTGATTTGTCTTCAATATTTACCTCAGTTTCATCTGGTTTTAACTTAAGGACTAATTTCGTTTTAATGAATTGTAAAGGATTCACAATGCAGGCTGAGTTAGCAGTAAAAAAAAATTTACGGCATAAAGTATAACTTAAAACTGACACTAAGTCACAGGAGTCATAGAACAACAAGCAAGGAACATCTAGAGGAGCTACTGATATTGAGCAGTCAAACAGAACAAACTAACAAAGAGAGGAAAGAACTAGATTTCCTACACGCAGGGTAGATTAATGAGAAAAGGCATGGAGGTCTGATGAGATAACCAGGTAAATATATAAAACAGCTGAGGAAAATATGGAAAGGATCTGTGAAGAAGAGTAATGAACCTGAGGAGACTAAGATTAAACTGTAAGAGAGACTCTGTAGAGAAAATATAGATATTAAAATACAAGGTTAAAATAACATGTACTCATTTTGTTCTCACTGACTGATATTAAATCAGACTCCCTCTTTTTCTGATGTAGTGCTGTTAGGATTGGAAAAAAATATTGTTATTTCATAAATAGAAATAATAACTTTTTGTGTGTTCAAATAAATAGTGCTTCTGGAGGCATCTCCTCAAATGCTTATGAAGATGCTGTTTAAAGCTCAGGAGAGTCTGTTGCTGCCCAAAGTGAAACAGGCTCTGTACTAACATGGGTTTAACAGCTGCTCGGGGAGGAAGAAGCCTTTACTCATAAAGCAAAATAAAACTTTGTTTACAGTTAAACACGCATGGATGACAGTCTTAACTTATTGACATCCTGTGGTCTATTAAAACAAAACATGACGTATTTGGTTGTATGTTTCTTTTTTTATTAAATTTAGATTAAAATAAAAAACTTGAAACATTGAGAAAACATTATTCCTACTGAGGGGCACTCCAGCATTATATTTTGTAGGGGGTTTTGATGGCTGCACTTTAAAAATAGGAGGCATCATAAAGAAAAGACATTATGCCAAAACACTGTAGCTACATTTCAGAATATTTGCCAGGTTGGTTTACTTCGTTACATGTAAACAAGCATAGAGCTAAGTCCATAGATCCAATCTGGAGACCTTTTAAATTTCTAAAGTTATATATAGGCCCAATGAAAGACTTTTAGCTGCAAGGATTTGCAATTCCTGTAAATCACCCATGTTTGTCTTTGGGCTTTGTTGGGTAACATTTGACCTTCTGCTGTCTCCTCTGCTCTCTTTGCATCTCTTCTGATATTTCAGTCTGGAGCCTTTAAGAGAAACTTTAGCTCTCCTCTGCTAACAATTGATCCACTGAGTATAGTGAAGGAGGCTCCGGCTGCTCAGGGTGAGTGGTGACAGCCCTGGTTGATTTGTTACAAAGGCAAGAGACCATAACGTCAGTTATGCTGTTTTATTTGTCTGGCTGAGTACAGAGACAGACAATGTCATCGTTGACCCCGTGTATGAGGCACTCCGCTACGGGACGTCATTGGCTCAGATGAGTCGTTCCAGCTTTGGAAGTATCTCTGAATCTCCTTGTGATGAGGTATAACATACACAACATGTTTGCCATTTTTTTAAATAAAGCCTGTATTAAACAGGAATTCTGCTGACTTTGCTTTCTTTATCAAAGGCAGAGACACTGCAAGGTAAACTAGAAAATCAACCCATTGCTGAAGAGGAAAATATTCCGGGAAGTAAGTCAAGTTTTTACATCTGTCTGCTAATTCTATGATATTCCCATTTCACTTTCTAGAAATGTAATATGAAATTAAATACTGCTGTAACCTATGTTATTTAATCAAACAACTTTCAGACTGTCATATGTTGTTGTGTGAACACACACGAGTTTTTTAAAAGATGTGCGCGTGCGAGAGCATGCACAAGTCCATTTCTCCACATGCATGCTCTGTTTAAAAGTTGCTGTTCTCATACAGGCTTACTGAACTCGAACATCCGCCCTCAGCCCTAAATCCCTCCACCACTATATAGCGCAGGGACTATATAGTTGACTCTATAGCGACACTCAGTTAACTTACCATTCAGACAGATGATCACTGCTTTTTTATCCGTTTGTCACGTAACTCTTTTTCTACTGCGCGGTGCCTGCTCCATAATTATTAGTCGCTGTTGTCGGTTACTGACAGCCTATGGAGACTGCGGGAAGCTGTGACAGCATATCCCATAATGCTTTGTAAGAAAAGCTCTCAGCGCAAAGCATTCTGGGATATATTTGCCTCTTCTGGAGCCCTTCTTTTCGTCTTATACACTCTATTGACACTTACGACCCTCTGTCATTTTTAAAGAACTGTGGTGAGAAAGGTGAGCTTCAATGAGTGTTTAAAATCGTAGCTCACCACACACATATATGCCTGAAAGTGCGCATGCAGAAAAAAGATATCTAACGGGACGAGTAAATAAAGCGGCCTTATGTAAACCTGTCAGCAGACTGATTGACAATTAGGAGGACCACTTATTTCGATAATACACCCAGAAATAAAATATCCTCCTCTATACCTTTAATTCTGCACCGAATGTAATAAATCCACAACAACCTAATACAAAATATAAGTATTTAATAACAATCATTCAGATCCAGTTCAAATATATTTCAGTGAAATATTGACCGAGTGAAACTCGGTAACAGAGTGAAACTACCTGTAACAGTAGCTTCACTTCTGCCTTGCTGCCCTTGATGACAAAGTGTGACATGCTCACTCCCTCTATTGCTTCTTCTCTCCCTTTACTCTGCACTTTTACTCTTTCCTCTGTCTGCGTTTTACATGTGGCCTTTCACATTGTCTGTCCTCCTCTTCATCTTCCCCTTTTCCCTTTTGTCATTGTTTATGTCTGTTTCTCCAGTGCTTACCCCTCCTGAAAGTGAGAAGGCTGATTCAGAGGACAGGGTCAGCCTGAAGGTGTGTAGTCAGCATTCTTCTCTTCTTTCAGTTTATTTTTACTAGCATAAACATCCTCAGTCATTTTTAGTCTCACTATTCTCATTGTAGTTTCACAAAAACAGAAATTTGATGACCATGTTTAATCTAATTGTTTTGTTGTCGCCAGACTCCAAAGCGAGTAGAAGTTCACTCCATTCACACATATATCGCCCTCTACAAGTTTCTGCCTCAGGAGAAGAATGACCTGGAACTACAGTTAGTGATATTTCTTTGTGTACTTTGTTATTTTGCATGAATCAGAATGCCCAGGTGAGATAGGGCATTCATACACCATCTGCCTGCTCAGCAGGATGATCATAGGGGGCTCAATTTGAGAAGGAGGAACATGCGGGGAGGCTGGGAAGGACAAACAGCTGCATTAAATGCATATCAAAAAAAGTTTTCATATGTTAGCAGCTACAAATAACTCTGTTTGTAGTACAACACCTGGAACTAATTTGAAGATACTGAAGCATAAAAGAGTAGCACAAGTTAAATTTATTTTTGCAGTAAATTTTTAAAGGGGCATAGTCACATTATATGCCTTGACAAAAAAAGACTAAAAACCATCTGATCATGATAAGATAAGACAATATGGCATGCATCCATCCTGATAGGGCTTTAATAGTCTTTTTGAGCCTAAATAGAATTCCTGGACTAGGTGCAATTAGCTGAGATAAACGTGTTAATTGCGACAAATGCAAACAGGGGAAAAACATTTCAATATAATAAAGATAAATCAGAGTGTAAAACTTTTCATTGGAATTGATACAAATTAAACACATAAGAGCACTACTTCACAGTAAGTTGTGAGATCCAAATTAAATCTGATTTTAAACTCATGATTCTAGCAGCAGTGACAAAAAAACTGCTCCTCTATATAATTTTGTCTGTACTTTAGCCGAAATCTTAAAGGTATAAGGGCCCTCTCTCCACTTTAAAAAAGGAATGCACATGCACAACCCTGTACCCGCTCCCGAGAGGGAACTCTTATTAAATGTTTGCGAGACCATGCATGGATTTCTCCAAATAGCATGCCAAACTTTACCTTTCGAGTACAAATTTCGCAACCGCAGCATCAGTGGGAAGTCTGACCTGTGCTTTCAGTGTACGCCATCGATTAAAAGAATCTCCCAAAAACACTCTGGCCTTGTTTCTCTCTTCTGAGGCCTTTCTCTTCTTTTCATAGACTTTGTAGACACTTTTTTTCTTGCGATCCGTGACCATTTTCAAGGAATCGCAGTGAGAAAAGCGAGCTTCAATGACTGGCTGAAACCGTAGCTCACCACACATATACACCTGAAAGTGCACATGCGCAGAAATTAGGAGAACCACTTATTTTGATGATTCACCCGTAAAAAAAAAAACATCCTCCACTGTACCTTTAACACGGCAGTGCTATAATTGGTATCAGTATTAATATGGATGTGCACTGACACAACAACCAATTGAACGCCTTCTCAAATGTAACTTTTTTCTTATGCTTTTTATACATCTCAAACCTTTTTCCTTTGTTTTTGAACACCTGTGAGACAGGATATTTACAAGGACAAACATACAAAAGGCAAGGTTTGTTGTAACAATACTCGCATTTTCATATAACAACCCATACATATAAACTCATAAAAATAAACAACCATTTGATAACTCTAGATAACTTAAGAAATAAATCCATTAAACTGAACATTTGGTTGACATGGATAAATGAATATCACAATTAGAAATATAGATGCAATATTTTAACTCTGATAGTTCCACACTCACTCGTCTCTCCTTCTTCAGGTTGTTACCAGCTATGCACGTCTGCAATGCTGTAGCTTAGGTCATGTGGTGCTGCAAGTAAATAGTAAATACACACACAAGGGCTTTATCTCTGAAATTTAGCAAAACAAAGTGTAAAATACCAACAAATAAGTAACATGCAGTAGGAAGCAGCAATTTTTCAGCAAAATTTTGGATGCAACAAGACTGACCACAAGGTGTATAAATTTGAAAAGTCATATAACATGATTATGCACCGGTAAAGGCCATTTGTCAAAAAATCAAATTGGCAAAGAAATGTACAGAAAGTTAGATGAGCTACTTAATGACCCGGGCATTATTTTAGTATAGCCTCCACACTGGAAAAAATCTAAATCTATATATGTTATTTTTTCTAAAAATTTGTGCAGTTTTTTCTTGAATGAGGAGATGAGTGAGATAATTTTCCCAATGGAACAAGGCAATTTATATTTAGAATGATAAAAAAAAAAAAATTGCATTGTCTTATTTTAAATGCATATTATCTTATATTATTTCAAGAAAGAAAAATCTAATTCCATTGGCAGATCATCTTTTTTATCTACTCAGATTAAGGGTAAATACACTTAAGGTAAGAAATTATTTATTTCTAGATCGTTTGCAGTCCGGTAGAGGCGGTGGGGGGAGGAATATTAAAGGGTTGAGTATTGGATTATGACTGGTAATCTGCTAAAGAAAAAACTTTACCTGGCCTAAACTAAAGCTGTTCATCTTAAACCCTGCAAACAATGCAATTTATTTATTGGTAGCAGAGTATAAGATTATTAGCCAAAGAAGAGTCATATCCCAATTGGGAAATCAATACAATAATGAACAGAAAAAAGTGTGCACCTCATTTGGTGGGATTTGCTCTGTTAATCGGCAATCTAATCGAATTTAAGATCGAGATGTTTACGTTTGAGGGGGAGAGGGTGAATATATCAAAGAAAATCCATGCTTGGGTTCTTCTTTTTTTCGAGTTTGGATTTTGCCAGCCTACTGTTGCATAATTAAGATAATAAGGAGAAAACTCAAAAAAATAAAATACATGAAAATACTTATCAATATATCTAGAGTACCATTGTTAAACCTTAACCTCAAAATCAAGATAACTCATTAGCTTAAGCTAACTTAGCTTTAAGATAAGGAGACATGCAAGGCTAAGATAAAAAGCTTCAGGGTAAACTAAGGTTAAAGTAATTTTGGCCAAGAAAAAACTGGAGTGCAGAAATTAAAGTCCACGCCAGCAGATAAGAAAGAATGTCATTCCCTCTTTTTCTGTTTTAACCACTACAAGCAACTATGAATTTTTTACCAGTTACACAATAGCTGCAGGAAACTCAAGGAAAACTAGTTTCCCAGATAATGTTTTGAGGGTTGGCTGTGAAATCTAAAAAACAGGGCTGTCATTTGTTCCTCGCAGCCTCAGAACAGAGAGCCAATTTCTTCTTAAAGAGCACAACCCTTAAGCCTAAACTAAAGGTAGAAAGAAAAGTAATTTGCTCACCTATTGTCAAGTAAATCTAAGTTGCTGAAGTGTGGGAATAATAATTCACATTGTATGTGGCATTCTTTGATTTTAACGTGTGTGCCTGCAGGCCTGGCGACAGAATTCAAGTCATGGACGACTCCAACGAAGACTGGTGGAAGGTGGGTGGCACTCCATTGTAGTCTTCATCACCTGAATATTTCAAAAGCTGTACTTTTTACCCTTTCTACTAAAAGCTTTTCTACTATAAATATCCAGATTGCTTTTGAATACACACTATACCAGCCCATGTCTAACGCATCATATCACCTTGGGGAGCTGAAATACTTCTTAGCAGGGCAAAAATCAGCTTAGAGACAATCAGAGCAAATGGTGAATCAGTATAGTTACAATAAAAACATTAGTTTTGATAAATTTTTCAGCTATTTCTATAACTGGAAAATGACCAAGCATTGTATTTATTTTCAAAAATAAAGCTGTGTATGAAAACTCACTGTAAAAATAAGAAAAAAGTTTAATATAAGAATTATGTTTTTAGTGTTTAAAATGGTATTTCTTCTTCAAGCTTTACATTTTATTGATCATTAATTAGATTTGACTGATATTAGATCTGAAGGATTGTGTTCTATATGCTGGCATAATTTAGCTATTTTCCAAGATCTCTATGTTTTTGACAGCTACTTTTTTCCATATATTGTATATTTGTTACCCATGTCCAGAGGTTCAATAGAGTACCCTAAAATTGTATTCAACTATAAGTAACCCTACATAAATATCAATTTATATATTAGTATTTAAATTTTGAAAAGTCCCCCAAGAACTTATTCCAGTAAGAGTAAACACATGTTTGGTAAAAGGGCTTCCCAAGTACTAAGTAACTGAAAATACCCTTTTATTTACTATTTGGAATCATGTTATAGGAGCAGACAGACCAAAATGCCAAGTTCTTGTATTTAAATATTATAATTATATTAAAGCAACATCATTCCATAATTGTAGAATAAAAATAAAGTTATCAAAGACAACTCTTTTTTTCAGCAAAGGGTTTATGAAACTAATGCGGCATTCAGACACATTTTTGCTGTCAAAAACGCTTGAACGCCAAAACTTGGACGCTGGGTCAAAACCTGGTCAAGTTGCTTTGATGCTTCGACACTCTGGATGCTCTGCACTCTGGTTGTTTATCTGCTTTGTTTTATAGCTACAAGCTAGATAACAGCTTGGCTTTATTTACTTTGACTTGGAAAAATAGTTTTGAATGGTTTTAAAGGAGAAGTTCGGTTTTTTACACTTTAAGCCCATTTTCTGTAGTGTCCAGGATGAAATCGAATGATCGACACCAAAAGTTTGACAATTGCTCCTGTCTCTGCTTTTTGGCTCATTTAGAATCAACCCCTGGCTGCTTTAGAATGGCTAGCATAGAGCATGTCCGATAATGTCCTTAAAACAACCTTAAACGTTCTTTTTTTAAAATATGCTACTCACCGGGTCGTCAGCGCTGTTCAATGACGTTCCAAAAAAAGTTTCGTGAAGAAAAAACGTTCCTGTAGTGTTTTATTTAGCATTTTGTAAATCCCATTGAGTTCTGTAGGAATAGTCAATATTCCCCTGCCACCGGAAACGGAAATGGGGCCTGTTTACACAGTTGTAGTCTTTTCGCTTCACTCCGTGTACTCCGACGTCGAGAATCAAGAATCCACCTTTCGTATTCCATTTTCAGAGTTTTTTAAAGTGTTTAACAGAGACGTTAGCACCTCGACGTCGGAGTACACAGAGTGAAGCGAAAAGACTACAACTGTGTAAACAGGCCCCATTTCCGTTTCCGGTGGCAGCGGAATATTGACTATTCCTACAGAACTCAATGGGATTAACAAAATGCTAAATAAAACACTAAAGGAACGTTTTTTCTTTACAAAACTTTTTTTGGAACGTCATTGAACAGCGCTGACGACCCGGTGAGTAGCATATTTTAAAAAAAGAACGTTTAAGGTTGTTTTAAGGACATTATCGGACATGCTCTATGCTAGCCATTCTAAAGCAGCCAGGGGGTGATTCTAAATGAGCCAAAAAGCAGAGACAGGAGCAATTGTCAAACTTTTGGTGTCGATCATTCCATTTCATCCTGGACACTACAGAAAATGGGCTTAAAGTGTAAAAAACCGAACTTCTCCTTTAAGCAAGAAAGTCCACCTCTAAAGATCATCTGTGCAGTCAGTTCATCAGGATTATAATCCCACTAAAATATGCATGTCTTGTTCGGAGTGCCAGACTTCCAGTATACTGCCGGGATGCAGAGCTGGATATCCCAGTTGAAAGCTCTCTCTGTGGGCGATTTCCCACTGCCGTTTGTAGTGGCTGTGAATTAATATAACGAGTACCAGAATGATTTGCCATAGTTCATAAAGAAAAGTTTTAGTGCAGTAACAATGATCAGAGCTCGTTCTCTTTTCCTTGTACATCCATTTTTCTGGCTTTTTTTTTTAACCTTTGGAGTTTGACCACTTGATATTTATTTAGTTTTCATATGCAGAAGCTTTGCAGAAACGATAACAGCTTGCATGTAGGATCTGTCTCCCCGACACCAGAACACTCAGATGCCCCACTTGGATGCACAGCTGGAACCCCTTGACGGCACCCACCATAAACTTTGCATGTAAATCAGACGCCTTTCCAGCTAAGAACGTGCCCAGTCTGAACACACCACAATTACTACAATACATTCTGTAAATGGTGTAGGATTTTGCAATTTTTTTGAGACCCACCCTCTCCACTTTTAAAAAAAGATGCACATGCACAACCCTGTATGTCCTCCCAAGAAGGGACGTCTATTTAACACGTGCAAGAGCGTATACAAGCCCATTTCTTCTATTTCACGCTTTGTTTAAAAGTTGCTATTTGCATCGCTCATACAAGCTTACTTTCCGAAAGAAGATTTAAAATTTTTCCACTATGTCAGACTCACCAACAGTAAGTAAAATGAGGACGAGCACATAGGACGGCCTTTTGTAAACACATCACCAGAATGATTGACAATTAGGAGGACCACTTATTTTAATGTACACCCAGAAAAAGAACATCTTCCACTATAACTTTAACTTGGTTCTGCTGAAAGAAAATAAGCCTTTTTCCAAATGAAATTGTTGTTATTTTTACAAACTGTCTGTGTGTGTTAAGCATTCTTGGTTAAAACCCAACTTGTTTGTTATTTTTGCCTATATGTAGTTACTTATTTTGAGTGCAGTGGCCAAAAATGTTGCTTAAGAATAGAAATAATTCATAATGGTATTAGAAATAAAAAGAATTGTGCAGTAAAACTAATTACAAAAGTACTTTTTTTTTTCAAAAGGTTACTTTTGCTAATAACACTAAGTAAAAGTAACTAACCCATATTGAGACTTATTTGGTTTGATTTCTTTGTATGTGTGGGTTAATTTTTTTTTTCTCTATCAGTTTGTAATTTTATCCCCATTATCAATATATTTACTACTTAGAATAAGTCTTTAGATGATTAATATTTAAATTACTGTTTTCCATTTACCTCCAATGAATCTAGCAGAGCAGAGAGAAACTATATCTGTGTAGAGCAGCAGGCCGAGTGTTTGTGGATGAGTAACTCTGTTTTGTTTACCAGGGGAAAAGCAGAGACAAGGTGGGATTTTTCCCAGCCAACTTTGTCCAACGAGTCCGACCGGGTGAGCGGGTGTGGAAGGTCACCGCTGCTTTCCATGGCAACAGAGACAAAGGCCAGATGACTGTGAGAGAGAATCAGGTGAGCAACCATTAAGTGCACACATTTTTTCCATCTCCTCCATACACACACAATCGCTGGAGGCCTTTTTTTTTATCTATAAGTGGATGCAAATTAATACAGAAAGTATTAAAATAACCAAGGACAGCAGTATGTTGCTTTCAGTAACTGCTCAGTCGCTACCGAGGTCCTCAAAGCATTCCCTCACGGTGCTCCTGTTCTATGCCCCTCTGCTCCCAATCCCCCCCCCTCTTTCTTTGCAGATCTGCATTGGGAAAAATGAGGAGACTGATGGCTTCCTTCGGCTAACCAGTGGGAAGAAGAGAGGCCTTGTCCCTGTGACGTTTTTGCTAGAAATATGATTGCAATTCTGCATATCTTTCCTTGACCCTCAGATTTAACAAAGGAGCTCACATTGATGGAGGAATACTCAGGAGTGTTTAGCAAGGACCTTGCTGACAACCACCCAGCCTCCTCCACCCAACCAAATATCGCTGCTACAGCTTAAGTGGAAAACAACCTGCAATTCTGGCTTTTGGCTGAAGATTAGGACAACCAGGAGCTTCTTCAGAGCGACTTTGCTTGTAGCACAGCTTCACTTTGTGGGGTTTCCTTTATCCTCGCAAGAGATATGTAGCAGTTATTTTCAAGAGACTGAGTGTGAAGGTGCTCTGGCTACCTCATTAGCCGTCAACACTGGCCACTCATTCAAAAAAGGAGAAAATACCTTTTTGTCATGGCATCATGGAATCATGGCATGGTTAAGCTGTTAGTGAAAAGAAACCACGATAAGACACTGGGTGTATATTGTTGCTTGTGCAAACCCTTTTAAGAAGAGTGGAATTTTGAAAACCACAAAGTTTTGTCTTTTACTGATTTCACTCAAAATGTCCAGGTTTCATAGTACATATATCACATTTGTAATGTGCGTACACATTTTCCATATATAATGATTCAGGTACTACCAAGTAATAACAGCTTTAACTTCCTCCGATTAAAGTCACAACAAACACTTTCTCTCCTATAAACAGTGCACACTTGAGGGTTTTATCTGCATCCCAAAATGCCCTTTGGTGATTACAGTGTGGCGCATTTGCACTCTTCACAGTTTCAATGTGACAAATACTTGCATGCACCTTGGGGAGCTCTTGGTTTGTCCTTCAAATGTTGTCTCTTCACACACAATAAAAGAGTTTGTATTTTCACTTTATTCTATGTAGCTCAATTAACCATTAGGATCTGCATCCTGTTGTTGCATCATAGACATGATTTATCTCTATCTAATGTTCCGTATTATTAACATGTGTCATGCAATAGGGAAGAGCATAAAGAGTCAATCAACCACGGTGATCAATTAAAAGCCATATTCAGTTGTCTGTGATAGAAGTGCTAAATGCTGTAACTCTTTTCCACAGACAACTAATTTTATAGCTGTGACACATTGATGGAAATATAATTGATAACAAAACCACCTCTTTTAATCAATTTCGCTGTCATAAATAATAAGGCTTAGTTTAATTAATAATTATTAAAATATACTTATGTGTATAGCCTTAAAACACTGTGTGTGTCTATATATGTATATATATATATATATATATATATATATATATATATATATATATATATATACATAATGTGTATGTATATTCACTCCTGAAAGCATGCTACCACAGTTTGCAGCTATGCTCGAGCCATTCGATCTTATCTGCAGGAGATTCAAGTTTAATGTGTTATACATGAAGTATGTATGACCCTTTTTGCTCAATTACCATCTCGCCCTGTCAGCACAAATATTTCAAGATACTATGCACAACAGTTCTAGTCACAAAAATTTTTGTTTGCATCCTATTTTCAAAGCAACTCAACTTGTCTTTGTCACCCAGTGTATTTGAAAAGATTTAAAACTGGACTTTGAAATTGCCTGTCTTGTGTATACACCATACTATTTCAATATAATCCTCACTGACTAGAACTAGGGTTGGCTCAGGATAACAATTACCCGTTTAATTGCACATGTTCCAAGCTAGTTCTTAGCATGATTGGTCATCATGTGATCTTCACATATGCTAATAAAGTTGAATGAATCCTAAGCATGTCTTTGTTTATTGAAGAAATAATTCCTTCTTCAGTTATTGATGTTTTAATAAAAAGACTTTTCAATCATAAACAATCTTTACTCTGATACTCCTAAATAGATTCATTTTTATCACTTGTAAGTGATTTCCTCTCATAATGAATCCAATGGCTCATTAAAGGTTTGTTAGGTAACAAGCAGCATCATAAAAAATAAATACAGAATGATTCGGTCTGGGATAAGGTTTGCAAAGTTCACATTGAAAAATACCCTCACCTTTGAAGATCTCACACCAGTTAAATGTCTCTTCTGAGAATATTGTAAGGCACAACTGCTAACCTACGTTGCTTTCTATCTAAAATAAGAGACTAGTTGAGCAAAAAAAGGGCTAGGCCACCAATGGATTAATGGTACTTTATTCGTCACTCTGGAGGAGCTGTGTACCTGAACAAGCTCAGGATGGAGTATTATTGAGAGCTATTCCTAAGCGATCAACATTTTTTATAGAAAATGTAAAGTGTTGCAGAAGCCAAACATGAAAAAATGTGCAGGGGATCTACAAAGACTGCATGCAATAATGTTCGGTCTGGCCATAGTGTAAATGAGCAAACTACATGCACTACCCGCACTCTGAAATTGTTTGTACAGAAAGAAATGGTTTAGTTGCAAGTAATATTAAAAGAAAATGGTTATTTAAGAAATTATGAGGATGAAGAATATTATTTCTAATGCACTTTACATAGGTATCTCAACTGCTACAAAACAAAATAAAAATGATAATAGCAAAGATTTAATTTAAAGGATTAGGTATCAATCAAAGAACCTGGAAAGCTGACTTTGTCAAATACTCCCTAAAAATCGAACACTAAACCGTTGGGTTTACCTCCTAAAACTTCTCACAACACCAAGTTGACACAAGATATTGCAAAACCTTACAAATTTAATGCAAATTATTGTACTTAATGTTGTGCCCTATTAAGAAAATTAAGCAGAAGTAATACAATATTTAAGTACAACCATGGTGTTTTAGGTTTGGTTTTGCTTCCTGCTAAATTAAAGGTGTTAGCAATTGAAATTCAGACTTTTGCATGTGAAAACCTGTGTTATTGTTGAGTCTCATTTAAAACCTGACAGACAATCAGAAGTGTGAATTTCGCTTGTTTTTGTTTTTTTTGTGGGATCTTTGTTGAAAGTAGAAAAGCCCAAAAAGACACTCCCTATTTTGGGCATCCTGCTCCTCTTTGGCGAAGAGTGTTTACAAAAACCACACTTGCTATCATCACACCAATCTCTATTCCACCAACAGGGACAATTCCAGCAATAAGGGAATCACCAGCATGCAGTTGGTTAGTGTTGCTGCTTGTGTAACGTTTTGCCTGTTGACCTGGAAATGACGGAAAAGGAAACCATGACAAACTGCTAAAGTTGCTGACACTACATCTACATGAACTTGCAAACTCACCAGTCAGATTTACCTTTGCAAGAAAAAAGGGGTATGGAATTTCTGACGAATTTAAGATTATATATGTAAAATACCAGGTTACTAGTCCTTTAATCTTTTTTCCCAAATATTCTATGCTACTATAATTTTTGCTGACAAACCAAACATTTTATTATTTGTACAGAGTCTTTTCCTCGTCTGCCATTGTTCCTCCTTTGTTGTTCATATTGACCCACAGAGATTTTTAAGCCGGAGTTTGCACCTAACTTTTAAATTACCACAAAATAGATGAAAATTGTTCTTGCAATCACTTTCCAGATTGATTTATCACTTTTAGGGTGGTAAATATATTATTTACATATCCTCTACATATAAGTTTGCATGACTGGACATTACAATACGATCGACATATTCATGAAGCCACATAAGCAAAAAAAAAAAAAATAATTGCACTTTGTATGAAGATCAGCTGTGCACATGTAAATACGTATGTTTGCTCTTGTTTCAATACATGCAAATCTTTTGAGTACCAGACCCTATATATTACCCGTGCCTGCAAGCTCCAGTTTAAATTATTACAGCCCAACCCAAAACGAGTCGGCCAACCACATTGCAGGATTATGTTTTCAGGCTGGTGATATCTGAAGAAAGCAATAACTGCTGAGCCGACGGTCAAACCAAACATGACAGGGCAGGAGGACTTACTTGTAACTGTAACATTTGTTTTGCCAGAATCCAGGCAAAACTTTGAAAGAGGAACAGCGGAGCGTAAAAGTGTACATTGTGGTTTCTCACTACATCTGCTGCTATTTGATTCATTGTCATGATTGGCTAAAACTAAGGTTCTGCTTCTTTACCTGAACATCTTCAAAACAAGCAGTCCTGGATTAATAATGTGTAAAAGTAAACTTGATTGCTACACATTATGAATCTGGTTTGTCAGGTTATCTATAAAAAGTGGAAAACTAACTGTGAGCAGCAAGTCTTTACTGTTAAATGGTCAGCATGGTAGCAGCATCATACTATGGCAATTCTACTGCAAAGATACGGAAGTTTTTCAGAGCTGATAGAAGAATGGATAGAGCTAAATACCGGGCAATGCTGTAGGAGAACCTAAAGAAGGCTGCAAGTGAGTTTAGTCAGGGCTGGTCTATCACTTTTAAAAACACAATGACCCTAAACCAGGGTTAACTGGTATAGGGTCACAGTTTAATCAATAGCTTTAATCAAATTGTGTCAAAGTTGAGACCTTGATCCAATTCAGAATTTGCAGTGAGACCAGAAAGCAGATGTACAGATACGTTTTCTGTCCAACACATTTTAATGCTTGTTCTTCCCCCAAACTATTTAATATTTTGAAAAAAGCATCAAGTTTGTCATCCATAAGAAAATAAAAAGAAAACATGAAACTAAATGGTTCCCCTCATTTAGTCTTGTGAGCAGACTATGAATCATTCATTTACGATATGCAGTTTAACCTCACATTTCCTAAGTAATTTCACAGCTAATTTCACAAGTTGTTTACTGGAACATATTTTTTCTCCTTTCATGACCCTTTCTCCTCCAATTCTCAGAGCTCTTTCCTTTGAATTGACAGTAACAAGACTGTTTTTTCTTAATAACCATAAATAAAACGATTAAATACCAAGAAAATAATTTGCGACAGAGGAGTTGCTGGCAGGGCGTAGACTTAGTTGGCAAAGAGAGCACCCTGTCTCTCTTTGAGCTTGTGTTTCACCCTGCTGTGGTGTGAGGAACATTTCTCAAATCATGACCCAGTTCTGCTATCATAGTGGATCACATGTGATTTTCATTTGTGCCAAGGCAGACAGAAATGCATGGGACTGGCAGTACATCAATTTTGATTAAAAAAAAATTGTGAAATTGCTGAAATCGGAGCTATAGATGGTGTGCTGCTCTAAAAAAAGGAGACCTTACTTTTAAGACAGAAAGCTGAAATTCTCATTCATCCTTTCAAACAACAAAAAAAAAAAAAACTATACAGCTGTGGTTCTTTTCAATCATACAGCCACAAGCAAGATACCTTAAATGGATAATTAATTGTCAAGCATGATCGCTAACATCTTTGGATCTTTAAAATAAAGCAGCATATGCATGACAGACTCCCGGTCAGCAGGATCCATGATCTCAGCTTAGTAATCGGAACAGGAAGCAGAAATATTGCTAAAACTGAGAAAAAAAATATCAGGCTCAAAATAGAATGTGATTAACCAGCCATAAAGAGGAAAAGAAGCACTGTTAGAGGGGAAATAAAGCCTTTTCATGCTTGCTGACGAAACACTATGGACCTCTGCGTCAGATTTGAAAATAAAAATAATCCCTCGTTTTCTAAAATTCTGCGTTAGTTGAGATTAATACTCAAGTATGTATGCTTGAAGCCGCATGAGCAGGAAAATATCCTCATACAGCAATGCATCTTGTTAATAAAAGGTACAGATTTATCAGGTGTACCAAGCTGATATGCTGCGTCTAGACTTTAGCCTTATCGCTGCCTGCAGGTATGAGAAAGCTCAGCAAAACAGTGGAGATTTACTGCACTCGGATGTAGAGCTTACAGTTTGGTTTTCGTCGTAGTAATCAGGTTTGAGAAATGCAACTTGTCCAAAAGAAAACAGCCTGAGAATATGTCTGAGATAGATATTTCTCAAAGGGGTGATTTTTGGAATCCAATATATATTCCCTAAATAATCAGTAGCATTAGCTATACTTTAGAGGCTTTTGAACCTTTGATATAAAATTGATGTGAATAGATTGTATAGTAAATAATGAATCCCAAAGCATGGCATTGCATGTATATTTAATCTCAAAACACTTTTTTCACCAAAAGAGACTGAGCTGCCTGATTACCTGCCCCCTCCAAGAAGCACCTAAGTTTACCGCATTGCGCCTGTCCAGTAAGCAATACGCCCTCTATAACGAGCAGTGATGTAAAGCAGAGCGCAATCATGGCTTAATGACTGTCTTAGTTAAAATATGTTTTTTCAACATTAAAAGATCTCAGACTTTATTCAGCCTTTCTAGATAAAACCCAGGAAGATTC